ATCTACCATACGACCCAGCTATCCCACTGCTGGGAATATACCCAGAGGAATGGAAATTATGAAGTCAAAGGTATAACTGTTCCCCAATGTTCATTGCAGCATTCTTTACAACAGCTAAGAGTTGGAACCAGCCCAAATGTCCATCATCAGATGAGTGGATATGGAAAATGTGGTATATCTACACAATGGAATACTACTCAGCTATTAAAAAGAATGAAATACTGCCAATTGCAATGACATGGATGGACCTTGAGAGAATTATATTAAGTGAAACAAGTCAGGCACAGAAAGAGAAATATCACATGTTCTCACTTATTTGTGGGAGCTAAAAATAAATAAATAAACAAACAAAAAAACTGGGGGGGTGGGGGTGGGGGAAGAAGACATAACAATTACAATTCCTTGAAATTGATACGACCGACATACAGAAAGGACATTGTTGGGAGGGAGGGGGGAAAGGGAGGGGAGAGGGAGGTTTCGGTAATTGGCCACAATAATCAACCACATTGTATATTGACAAAATAAAATAAAATAAAATAAAATATTTTTTAAAAAAGAAAGCAATAATCAAAAAAATAAAAATTTGGTAAATTAGACTCCATCAAAATAAAAACTTAAGCTCACAAAAAGACACAATTTAAGAAAGTGAACAGGGAAGCCTCAGACTAGGAAAATAGTCACAAAATATATGTCTGATGAAGAATTTGTATCTAGAATATATCAAAAGCTTCTACAATTCCATAAAAAAACCCCAAGGAACATAATAAAAAGCTTAGACACTCCACCAAAGAAGGTATCTGAACAAGAACACAAAAAGCTGCTCAACAGCAGAAGCCATCAGGGAAAAACAAATTAAAACCATGATGAGATACTTTTATAACACACACCAGAATCACTAAAATTAAAACACTGACATAAATTGTTGACAAGAATGTGAACAGCTTGAACTCTTGTACTTTTGTTGTTGGGAGTATAAAAAGATACACTGTGAAAAAGGGTCTGACAGTTTTTATAAACCAAATACTTTCCCTTGGACCCAGCAATTCCACTACTAGGTATTTATCCAACAGAAAGAAAAATACATGTCCTCAAAAGACTTGCACAAGAACATTCATAGCAGCTTTACCGAAGAGAGCTAATAATTGGAAACAGCCATGCTGACTGATGGAGTTTGGATGTGTTGTCCACACCAAAACTCATGTGGACACCTGATCCCCAATGTGGCAGTTTTGGGAGCTGTTTGAGTCATGGGGGCAGATCCCTCATGAATTGATTAATGCTCTCCCTGGGGGAGGGGGACCTGAGTGAGATCTCACTCTATTAGTTCCCATGAGAGCTGGTTGTTTAAAAGACCTGGCACCTCCCATCTCTCTCTCTCTCTCTCTCTCTCTCTCTCTCGCTTCCTCTTGCCATGTGATCTGCTTGTACCTGCCGGCTGCCTGCCATTTTCTTGCCATGAGGCCCACACCAGACGCAGCTGTCCCAGACTTCTAAGCCAAATAAATCTCTGTTCTTTATAAATTACCTAGTCTTAGGTATTCTGTTATAGCAGCACAAAACAGACTAATACAGTGTTCATCAACAGAAGAATGGATAAACAAACTGTGGTGTATTCATACAATGGAATACAACATTGTACAAAAAGGATTAAACTACTGATACGCACAACAACATAGATGGATTTCAAAAACATTATGTTGGATCAAGGATTTAAATATACACCCCGAAACAATAAAACTTATTAAAGAAAACATAGGAGAAACCCTTCAGCAAATAGGGCTGGGCACAGACTTCATGAATATGACCCCAAAAGCACGGGCAACCAAAGGAAAAATAAACAAATGGGACTATATCAAACTAAAAAGCTTCTGCACAGCAAAAGAAACAATTAACAGAGCTAAAAGACAACCAACAGAGTGGGAGAAAATACTTGCAAAATACACATCTGACAAAGGACTAATATCCAGAATATATAAAGAACTCAAACAACTTTACAAGAAAAAAACAAGCAACCCAATCAAAAAATGGGCAAAAGAACTAAGCAGGCATTTCTCTAAAGAAGATATAAAAATGGCCAACAGTCATATGAAAAAATGCTCAACATCACTCAGCATCCGGGAAATGCAAATCAAAACCACACTGAGATACCATCTCACCCCAGTTAGGATGGCAAAAATCCAAAAGACACTGAAAGATAAATGCTGGCGTGGCTGCGGAGAAAAAGGAACTCTCTTACACTGTTGGTGGGAATGCACAATGGTGCAACCCCTATGGAAAATGGTTTGGAGGTTCCTCAAACAGCTGAAGATAGACCTACCATACGACCCAGCTATCCCACTGCTGGGAATATATCCAAAGGAATGGAAATCATCAAGTCGAAGGTACACTTGTTTCCCAATGTTCATTGCAGCACTCTTCACAATAGCCAAGAGCTGGAATCAACCCAAATGTCCATCATCGGATGAGTGGATACAGAAAATGTGGTATATCTACACAATGGAATACTACTCAGCTATAAAAACGAAAAAAAACCCCGGGGGTGGGGTGGGGAAGAAGATATAACAACTATACTTTTATGAAGTTGTTACAACAAGCAAACGGAAAGGACATTCTTGGGGGGGAGGGGAGAAAGGGAGGAGGGAGGGAGGTGTCGGTGATGGGCCATAATAATCATATACATTGTATATTGACAAAATAAAATTTAACGGAAAAAAACAAAACAAAACAAACAAAAAAAAAACATTATGTTGAGAGAAACCTTAGAAGGAGTGTACATTGTTTAATTCCATTTGTACGAAGTTCAAGAACAAGCAAAATTAATCCATGGTGGAAAAATACACAGAATCAAGGTTGCCACTTGGTGAGTCAGGGCAGAAACTGACTGTGAAGGGACTTTAAACAAATATTCAACTTTAGGTAATATTCATGCTGAAGTATTTAAGAGTGAAGTACACTTATATCTGCAGCTTTGAACACATCAAGAAATAATGATTGATGAATAGAGGGATGAAAATATGCATAGATATATGATCAAGCAAACAGCAAAATGTTAATTGAGCTGGATATATAGATATTATTAAAATAATTATTTAAACTATTCTGAATGTTTGAAAATTTTCATAATAAAATGTTGGGGGAGAAAACAACTGTTTTCTTTTTTTTTTTTTCCTTTTTTTTTCACAACTCTGTTTTCAATTCCTCCGCTTTCTTACATTGCCTGTACAAACTGTAACTGAATTTATATAAAGTAAGCCAACAGGGGGTGCTATTCTCAGTCAGTCATGATTTTATCTTTCTTGGGCAGCTGGCTGGTAAGGGGATCTGAACTATTGACCTTGGTGTTATAAGCTCTATGCTCTACTGAGGGAAAAAACGGCCAGCCCCCACCAAAAACAAAACAAAACAAAGAACTGAATTTATATAAAGTAAGCCAACAGGGGGTGCTATTCTCAGTCAGTCATGATTTTATCTTTGTTGGGCAGCTGGCTGGTAAGGGGATTTGAACTATTGACCTTGGTGTTATAAGCTCTATGCTCTACTGAGGGAAAAAACGGCCAGCCCCCACCAAAAACAAAACAAAACAAAGAACCCCCAAATTTTAAGAAATAAACCAAACCATTCCTTCTTACCAAAGACATAAATTTAATTGCATAGTGATTTTAGCTTCACATTATATTTGTCATGATTCTGGCTCAGATGAGTGTTCAGCAGTTTCATGTGCTATGCCTTGGCTTAGATGCCTATTTCCAAGGCTAATCATTTAAAGATGGGCATCTGCCCTGACTACAGCCTTTAGCACAAGAAAATATATTTGCTGAGCTTGGCATCTCAGGGTGAAATGCAAGGCTCATAAATGTCAACGAAACAAAGCAAATCAAGAAACAATGCCGAGAATTTACATTTTACTGTTAAGGAGGGGCAGACACCTAATAGATTACAGATTCAACGTTTATACCTTCAAGAAAAAACTTACAGGTTTCATTACCTTTATCAAGAGATGCTCCAGCCATATGGTAAAAGCTCAATGCAGTGTCCACATCATTAATATTCTTTAAGAAAGTAAAGAAGTTCTCCACCTCCTGAAATGTCAGACCCTGAAAGAGGAGAGACATCAAGGTGAGACAGGACCTGTAACAAAAAGCAACACAAAATGCAGAGAACTAGGCAGTTATTCATGTCTATAAATCAGAAATTTATGCTCATGTCTAGAACGGAGACTGAATAAATTAGTCAAGGAATGTCAAATTTGTACACAAAAGAGGAACAAAACTCTAGAATTTTACCCTGAGAAAGGTAAACTGGCTAATTACCTTCCCCTTATGTGTAAAATCTGACAGAAAGCTGCTTACAGTGATGGCTGGATATCTATAACGAAAATATTTCTAACTGTGCTCTCCAATTAATTACACTATCTATTATGACACTTCTTAAACAGGCTGTAGCCACTTGATCTGTTATACATCTTACGAAGAAGGATCAGAGTCAGGACTTACATTTTAATAGTTTGCTCACAGTCCAGCTAAGCTTTTCGAGGCTTTAAGCTAATTAAAGAATCACCAAAGTCAGTGATATTCAGGAAAAGGGCTTCAGTATTTAGCAAGCACTGAGGAAGCTGTTCATCATTTCAATTTAAAAGCTACTAATGAAGTAATTTGCCACTTAACTTTAACCTGATGAAATTTTGTGAATGAAGAAATCCTTTTCAAAAGCTGTTCAAAGATTTGCTAACCTCTAATTCTATTTTCTAGGATGGCTCAAGAGAAAGTAGTTGTGTAAACAGGGGCTACCAGGATTCCTTTACAGGGAGGAAGATTTGTCCTATTTGTCTTTTCCCCACTTCTCAAACATCATGCTGTGATGCAAAAGAATAGTTTCTAAGAAGTGAAGATACTGGAATATGTCCTAGACCTGAGGTTAATGCCTTTTAATGAGGCATCAGGTTTAATGGATTGCATATGTTGACTTGCTTCTACTGAGTGCTGCTCTTCTTCCAATTTCCATTGCCCCCAACTACAGAGCCTAGGAACCCACATCAGGAATTCGGTATAAGGAAACCTAATACAGACAATCTATAGTTCTTTCCTGGTACTTTCCAAATTGGGTTAATTGTATCTTTCTTATCTTGTCAATCAAACTGAGAGGTAAAATACTATTTGTATGATTATGTCACATAATCTCTTATTATTTTTTCCCTTAGAATCATAGAACTTAAAAATCTTTTTCTTCTGGAATATGATCACCATATATCTACATAGAAAGGTGCATGAAATAAAAATGTACAACCTGACAAACTGCTGAAAATGAACAACAGAACCTCCATTCAGGTCCAGGAACAGATGGAATATTATCAGTATCCCAGAAGTCCCCTTCCCTCTCCCCAAAATGCCATTTCCCAATTGTAAGTCCCCTCCCACTCCTACCCACAGTGATAATCACTATCAGGGGTTTCATTTCCCCTTGCTTATTTTTTTTTAAATAGCATTACTACCTATTTTTGCACCCTTAAACAGAAACTAGTTTAATTTAGTCTGTTTTTGAACTTTATAAATGGAATCATGCAGTATGTATTCTGCAACATACAGCTTCTCTCTTTAAGATTTGTTCATGTTTTTGTGTATATCTGTAGTTCATTTTTATTGTTATGAAGTATTCCATTATGTGACTATATGATAATTTGCTTATCCATTCTATTTGTGCTACTTTTTTTGGCAATTACTAACAGTGTTGCATTTGTATTTAAGCATTCATTCAAACATTTATGGAGTACCTACTATGCGTACCAACCACCATAATTTTTAACAGTGAACTGGAAGGCCTACATTACATACTATTTCCCTAATTTTTTTAAAGTTTATTTATTTATTAATATATATATATTTTTTACATTCTATGATGTTGTTGTGGAGCAGCTAGGTGGGAGGGGGAGAGGGGAAAGGGAAGGAAATAGGGTGAGAGAAGGAGGAAGGAGGAGGGGTGGTGTTGAGGCCTGTAGCACTCCCCTCATTCCTGCATGGGAGACCAGGAGGCTTCCAACAGTGGCCTGGTCATTGCTGAGCTGGGTGCAGATGTTAGAGGGGTATGGCTGAAGCCCTCACCCCCACCCAATGCCCCAGCCTGGGGGCTCAGGACACTTCCTGTGGCAGCTCAGTGATCATTGCTGGACTGGTTGCAGGTGTTGGGGGGGCATGGCCGAGGCCCTCACCGCCCCCACTACCCCAGCCTGGGAGCTCAGGACACTTCCTGTGGCAGCTCAGTGATCGTTGCTGGACTGGTTGCAGGTGTTGGGGAGGTGTGGGCGAGGCCCTCAGCCCCCCACTGCCAAAGCTCGGAAGAGCTCGGGGCACTTCCTGCAGCGGCTTGGTGGGCGTCACTGGTTGGTTGTGGGTGTCAATGGGGCATGGCTGAGGCCCTCGGTCCCCCACCCTCTGGACTGGTTGCAGGTGTTAGAGGGATGGCTCAGGCCCCTCGCCCTTCCCCCTCCCTAACTTAGTTGCTGTAGCAAAAGTGACCTCTGGACTGGTTGCAGGTGTTAGAGGGATGGCTCAGGCCCCTCGCCCTTCCCCCTCCCTAGCTTAGTTGCTGTAGCAAAAGTGAAGATAAATGGTCAGGGTCTCTCAGATGTTCAGAATCTTGCCCAGGTATTCCTTGATTATTGTCTAACATAATTGTGCATGTGAGCCCAGGTGTTCTTTGGTTGTCTGACTCCACCCAGGTGTTCCTGGGTTATCGGACTTAACTATAAAGGACGAATGGCTCTGATCCACAGTGCCCCTGCCCCCAGGATGCTTCTGTGGGGGCCACACGGAGGCCACTACTACTGCTGGAGGCTGTTGCTGCTGGAGGCTGCTGTAAGCTGCTGCTGCTGCTGCTGCTGAGGAAGCTGAGGACTGAGCTCGCATTGGACAACTCTACCAATGGCTCCTGGGATATTTCCCAATTAACTAGCTCATGACCTGCATGTGAGGGGTCTGGTGACCCAGCTGGGCACGTGAGGGGTCTGGTGACCTAGTGGGGCATGTGAGGGGTCTGTACTCAGTCTGTACAATGGATGAAGGGTCTGTGAGCCCTAGCCTGACAGTAGCCCAGGGGACTTCTGGTCCTTCTAGGTTTTATAGGTGTTCTTTGGTGATATGAGACTTTTACTAGTTAATATCAAGCCTTGTCTCTGGTCTGTGGGTAGTTTTTTCTTTCAGTTCTGTGTTGGATCATCTGCTGTAACTACCACTCAAACTCTGCACTGGAAGTAATTTGTTGCCCTTTGCTTACTTCTAAAATGGGAGAATTCCTGTGGGGACCAGTACTTGAACTCTGCGGTTGAGCTCAATATTTTTTGCTTTGCTGCTGATTCCCCGGGGAAGGCTTTTTGTGCAGCTCAGGTTTTAATGGTTGACTTTATGGGTACTTCTGGGTCTTGTGAGATCCGGTACACCTGGGTTGTGTAGAAACTCCAGACTGGGCCTGAGTGTTTTCAGCAAACTGCACCCCCTGCAGTTCTGTATTCCTGACCAGTCTCCACTGAGTGGTCCTGTGCTGACTGGGGGACAGATCAGCTGTCCTTGCTGTGTCCCAGTGTTCTCTCAGTGGGCCTATTTCCCCCACCACCCGTGCTCCAAATACTTCCTATGGGATGGGTCATGCACTGGTCCCTTATGATGACTCACCAAACTCTGAGTGGCTCCTTTTTTCAGTTGTTGTGGCTCCTTGCTCCTATGTGGGTCCATGAGAACCCTACTAGTGGTCTTGCTGGCCTGAGGGCCACCAAGGCCCTCTTCTCTTCTGCCAACTCCAAGCAACTTCATCCAAAGGGCATAGCCCCAAGCTTTTGCCAGTTCCTGCTCTGTGCACTCACCAGCTCTAACCTTGCAGTGGCCGGGGCTTGAAATGGTCAGAGCAGTTCTTTCTTTCTCTCATTGTGGCTACTCCTGCCTTCATGCACTTCATAGGTCTCTCCTCATCTTCCCCTGATCTCTAGCGGCCCCAGCTTGGCTGTCATTGCTTTTTAATAGTTGTAAATTGGTTGATTTGTGGTAGAGAGTGATACTGGGGATCGTCTATTTTGCCATCTTGTCTGAAAGCCACTTATTCCTTAATTTGAAGTCATTCTCTTGACCTTGACTTAGAGCACCCAGAGATAAGGCTCATTCCTTATAAGGATGCCAGAGTATGCTATTCAGTGTAAGCACTAGGCTAGAATCAACCTTACAGACAAGAATCCCACTGGATTAGAAGTACAGGTTCTACATCATCACTGCTTGTGGGTTATACACTGATACCATCTTCCTTCCTACCTCCACCAAAAGACATGCAAAGGAGGAAGCAACCCAAGTGTCCATCAATGGATAAGTGGATAAACAAAATGCAGTATATACATAAAATAGAGTATTATTTAGCCTTTAAAAGGAATGAAATTCCGACACAAGCTACCACATGGATGGGCCTTGAAGACATTATGCCAAGTGAAATAAGCCAGCCACAAAAGGACAATACTGTATGATTACCCTTGCAGGAGGTACCTAGAGTAGTCAAATTCATAGACACAGAAAACAGAAGGGTGGTTTCCAGGGGTTGGGAGAGTAGGAATTAGGAGTTATTGTTTAATGGGTAAGGAGTTCCGGTTTGGGAAGATGAACAAAGTTCTGGAGGTGGATGGTGGTGATGGCTGCATAACAATGTGAATGTGCTTAATGCCACTGAACTGTACACTTAAAAATGGTTAAAATGGTATATGATCCAGCAATTCCAATGCTGGGTACATACCCAAAGGATTGGAAATTATCATGTTGAAGGGATACCTGCACTCCCATGTTTACTGCAGCTCTATTTACAATAGCCAAGAGTTGGAAACAATCTAAACGCCTGTCATTGGATGACTGGATAAGGAAAATGTGGTGTATATATACAATGGAAAACTATTCTGCCATAAAAAGAATGAAATACTGCCATTCACAGCAACATGGATGAACTTTAAGAAAATTACGTTAAATGAAATAAGCCAGGCACAGAAAGAGAAATACTGCATGTCCTCACTCATAAGTGGGAACCAAAAAAAAAAAAAACCAAATAAATAAAATAAATTTAAAAAAAGAAGAAAGAT